GATCAGTACCCCCTTTTCCATCTCCCGCTTCATCTCTGATCAATACCCCCTTCTATCACCTCCTCCAGGGTCACTTCCTCAGGGGGTCAGATGAGCCTCTTCTCCTAGTTAATTGTGGAGCTAGAAGGGGCGGGGAGGGAGGCTGGGGGTGGCTCACAGTCTTGAAGAACTCATCAGGCCCGGGAAGGCCACCTCAGGTCAGGCAGCCTCTTTACTACCGCTGGTCTCTCCTCCCCATCCCCGTTGTCCTCCTCTTCACTGCTGCTGTCCAAGCTGCCATACTTCCAGGGGAAGACATTCCCAGGTGCACATACTCTGTTTATGGAGGAATAGGGCATCATGCTGCCAAGCGGCACCACCCAGCGGCCACTCTGTGCAGTGCTTCACCACTCAGCAGCACTCTGAGGGTTCCCCATTGTACTGGATGACCAGAGCTGTCCAGGCAAGCACACATAGCACTAAATGGCCCTGCCTACAGCGCCCCTAAAAAATTAGCGCCCGGGGCAACGGCCCCCATGCCACCCCCCCCTACCCCATGCTTTGCTCCTGATTGCTGTCTTTTTTCCCCACTAGGTAGATTTACCCCCCCTGTTAGTCCTGGTGGCCATTGTCTCCAAAACAGAAAGTGATGAGAGAGGCAGAATTTTACATTTGTCACAAGAACAAAAAGTGAAGAAAGGTCTGAAGAGGACAAATGTTAGAGTGGGGAACCTCATTTCACTTTGTAGAGATTTCTTCTAACTTCCTGTTTCATCTCCAGAACAGGAAGTGAGAGGAAATCTCTCTACCGGAATGCGGACAAAATAAATGCTTTTAAGGATGTTTTAACTCTCCCCTGCATTATCCAAAACGTAAAAGAAAAGTTTTGGCTTTGCAGAGACTTAAAGGAAGAGTTTTCCTTTCGAAGCGCTATGGTGGCAGGCAGTTTACTTTTACCATTGTATGTATCACATTCTCTATTATCTATTCTGAATACCATTTGTTTTTTTTATTGCTGTGCTGTTTGACTACATGTTTTGTGAAATAGCCTTGAATAGAGAGAGAGATCAATATGCACAGAGCGCTGAGTGACTCATGAGGGACAAGTCCCCTTCCAACTTTCCTTGTAGAGATGGGACCTTCCAGCTTGGTTACGCACTAGCTGAGATTATAAGGAGACTCACCATGCTTTGCAGTCAGTGTCATGGAGGCAATGTGTAAAATGTTTATTCATAGAATGAAGATTTTATTTAAATAGATGTTAAAATATGCTAAAACATCAACAACTTGTAAAAATTCAGACAACAAATTGACCAAAACACATTCCTCCATTTCTTTTGAATTTTCAAGGGATCCCTTCTCTCAAACGAGAATGTCCACAATGGCAATAGTTCAGACCAGATGCCTGCAGGGAATGTTCCACCTCCACCGATCCCTCCTCCGCTTCCAGACAACCTGTGTTACCCACCACCCCCTCCTCCGCTGCCAACAGAGGCTTCAATCTCCAGCTCCATGCAACGACGTTCGTCCAACTCTACTGGAAGTGAGTAAATGGGCTCCCAGCTTAGCGTATACTTGTGTTGAGTCAGACAGGTCCACTTGCGATGAGTTACTGACGTAGCATGTATCAGGTCGGCTCAAACTATGAGGATGAGTGAAATTCACTCACCTCATAGTTCTTTTAATTCTGAGCTTATCTCACCAAGCTCAGAATTGACAAACAACATGTATACTGATCCTGGGGTAGTTTACTGCTGCAGTTTGACTTTTAAGTAAGTCTATAAACAGAGCTGTCTCAGTACAATATTTGAATGAAGCAATATTATAATATCCTGCAGACCTGATGCAGGTCCACTACATAAGGAAAGCATCTGGTGGGTCAGTTCTGGAGAAGATATCTGACCAGAAAAATCTCCCATCCAAAAGACACTAGAGAAAAAGGAAAATATATTACCTACATGTATAATAAGATTAATGTTTGCCGGTAGATGAGCTTTAAAAGTTTCAACTTCCTTAGGAATACACCCTGGGATGTCTGCTGTGTGCTGGACAATGCCCCATCCACTGCTGTCATTTGTATTACTGTATTGTAAATGTATTCCATTCTGATAAGTTCCCCAACTTACCTTTACTTCTACTTTACTTTATCTACCTTATAAAACATACAGCAGAGAGATTTGTTACTCCATGAGGTGTACAATGTTCCTGCTCACCCAAAACTCCTTCTATCAGCTGTCAGTATATGCCGGTCCTTTATTTAGGTCACAAGTCTTATGAAAGCCTTTTCAAACCTTATTGCACAACAAAAGTTAATGGGACTCTTTCTTACTTTCTCCAGATTTTGTCATATTGTTAATTTTTATATTCTTTCTTCTTCTTTTGTTAACAACTGTTTCTCATTTCTTTCCTCTCCTTACTTGCCGACACCGTGTGATTTGTCCTGTCTTTGTCTGTTCCTTTTGTCTGTTTTCAAACCGACTCAATCATGCTTGTCTGAATCTGTCCCTTGCTTGGATGCTGGCTGACCTGCATGCCAATTATGCCCTCCATTCCCTCTGTGTGCCTCCTTTGTGCGCCCGCTCTCGGCCCCTCTCCCTATCTCTCTCTCTCTCTCTCTCCTGTCTCCATTCTAGGAGTGATAGCACTCAGGCAAAGGAAGAGTAAGTACTTCTGTTTTTCATTCATATCAGACTTTCACAACTTTCATAACTTTTCTTCCTCTTTCTTACCTAATTTCCTGGCAGTGTTGATACTTTTCCAGTGCTTGGATATTTTAGGAAGCATGGGGGGAGGAAGGGGGGGCATAGCAGACAAGTCCTTTTTGGTTTGTTGTGGTGGGAAAATGTAAAATGATTTATTGTAATGCTTTGTTGAAATGGATCACAAACAGTGCGTTGAGCCAAAACTCTTAAACAGCATTTGAGAATCTTCTTCTTGAAGGGTTAGTCACTTCGAAAGTGACATTTTGGTTGTAGGTGGAGCCTTGTGGGCTGATTCAGCCACTGGCTTCTTATAGGTCTTGAAAACTCTAACAGCGAGATCTCCCAGCCATATTTCTGACTCCTGTTCACATGGGAGTTTACGACGTTCCTGTCCACTTTGTCATTTTCAGCTCCTCTGGTTACATTCTACATAATATAAAATTAAGTTTTAAAAAATAGTGGGAGCCCGTCATAATGGCCGCAGCAGGTGTGAGGTTGGTTGACTCTTTGGCTTAATAGCCAGTGGTACACTTTATGGCCAAAAGTATGTGGACACCCTTCCAAATGTTGAGGTTCTGCCTTCAAGGTTCCAGGTTGCCGCTGGAGGAAAAAAAAAACACCAATCTCTATAGGTACACTATATGGGCAAAAGTATGTGCACCTCCTTGTTGGGCGCATTGAGGAACCTGGCCTTGGGGCAGCAGAGAGAGAGTAAATCAGGCCCTGAATAAAGCACAATGGTTCTGGTGAGGCCATTCTCAAAAGAATTGAGGAGTCATGTGTATAACGTCCAATGAGAGTGCCACACAGTCTGAGAGTACAAAAACATTTACTAATAGAATTAGTTCACAAGCGATAACACAGAGCAGCCAACACATTTTAGGGGTTCAATGCCCTCCCCCTCCTTCAGGGCTGAAACACAATAGGGGGAATTTTTTTAAATCTGAAGCAGCTGTGCATGGCAACCAATTAGCTTCTCTCTTCAGTTTGTTCAGCTAAGATTGCCTTCAATGGGTAATAAAATACACAGCTGTACTGTGTTGTCCTGTGTTAACCAATACTATTATTGGGCTCTCTTAATTGTTTGGAGCTCTCATTAGACTTTATACACATGACATTTAAATGGACCTTAAGTAAGAGAGTAAAATCCTCCTAGCTATCATCTTTCATCTTTGGGAAGTTACAGCAACAGTTGTTTTGCAAAGTAGGAATGAACTACATGATTGAAAGGTTGCAGTCTCCCCTAGAAAGTGTTATAGGGTTTGTCCCGACCCATATAATTATCACTATTTGCTGGACAGCTTGGCCTGCATATTATATCGCAAGTTAGTTGCGCTCGGTCTCGACAAATAAATAAAATAAAATATGTGCACTCTATAGGACGTGAAGAAGTTACTAAGTTCAGATTCTACTGTGAAAAAATTATAGATCTCGGTAGTCACTACCTCGGTAATAATTGTGCAATACAACAATCAGGTGTGGGAAAAGGGTTTTCAACCACCAGCCGGTGTATTGATACTTGGCCTGCATGTTAACGTAGAGAAAAAGAAACATAAGCACCTGTAAAATAAAACAAAGGAATTCATATATTGAATACTATTATTACAGGTATTAACCCCATTAAGTTACCAAAACACAATATTTTTCATTATTATTATACAGGATATATAGCACATAATAACAGATTTTGTAGCACTTTACAACTTGGAGAGGGAAAGTAACATAATACAATTTCAATACAGGAGGGTTAGGAGGGCAATAGTGGTCCTTTACATTTTTATCAGCCGAGCCTCCACCTGTCACATCGCTACTAAACAGGGTGTAAAAATTGTCTTGTTGCCGGTTGTACATAATTTACAATGGCTCTGCTGGCGTATTCACATTTACAGATGTCTGACTGGCCGGCGGTTGACAGAGACAATGAGAATGACAAAAGAGGGTTTAACAATTAGATACCACACCTGGCGTACGTGTCTGAAACAATGGCACCCATCTTTTCTGTTGTCATGCTTTTTAATGAGAAAAAGGACTCTCTGCCGAGTGTATCAAGTAAACAGAAACAGTCTCGGCTTGTAGAGCAACAGTTATGGATTCAGTTTGTAGTGTTTGGGGACCTTAAAATAACAGTTGGCTTTGTTTTCCATGTCGATGTATATATTTTATATGATCATATTTCCGAGGCGGCAGTGTTTCAGCATTGTGAGTTTTCCATCCCACTTATTTGACATCCAAATGAATATTTATGAGTAAGGGAATCTAAGTTCTATCAGTTGAGTTATGTACCAACCTGTTCTGGAATCATCATCTGTGTATGCATAGCTTTCGATGTAAACCCAATCTCCAAAATCTCATATAAGCTGTAACATATTAATAACCATCATCACTATGTCACCCCGATGAAGGGACCCTGAGTGGCCCCGAAACGTTGGTTATCTGATATATGTGACGCTATATAACAATTAATGAACACAAGGGTTTAATTGATATCTTTTGAGTACTGGTGATCTACTACTTTCTCCGGCTTGAACATACACGGCGCCATCCGTGTTTATCACTTCGAGCACCACATTTCTTATCGGTTCTAGATGCTGAATGGAGTCCAGGGGACACATCTGTATACTACCTGTCTTTCAAATAGTGTTTGCATCTATGTCAAACACCAGGAGAACATGCCGTGGAGTTTTGGCAACAAAGTCAGTTGCGAGTACTGTAGTACTGAACATAATGCCTAACCTACACATGTAGATGGGCAGCGCTGCTTCTTGTCCTCATCAATATCACTCTCTATGGGTTGATTGTGTAATGAAAAAAATAGAGATTTATGAAGGACGCAATTTCTGCTTGACGTTTGCATTGCGCAATCTAACGCTGGCTGCTTTTTCATTAGGTACCAAGTCCTTCAACATGATGTCTCCAACTGGTGACAATTCAGAGCTGCTGGCAGAAATTAAAGCGGGGAAATGCTTAAAACCAACTCCACACAGCAAAGCCCTCAACACTATCTTCTCGGGCAGTGGACAGCCAGGAACAAATGTATGGTGATATTGTTCTCTTTACACTTAATGTTATTTCATTTAATAAGCCAACCGAGTTGATTTAGAGGCTGTTTACTTTTGATGACACCTGAAATCTGATTTTGGTTGCATGCATCCTCATTCCTCATTGCTCTCCATATCTCTCTATATATATATATATATATAAGTGGGCTGCTCCCAAGAGCATGCTTTAAGTAAAGGTGGGCTGCTCCCTCATTGCTTTTAGTAATGCTCCCACCTGCTCCAAAGAACATGCTTATAGTAAAGGTGGGCTGCTCCCAAGAGCATGCTTTTAGTAAAGCTTCCTCATTGCTTTTAGTAATGCTCCCACCTGCTCCCAAGAGCATGCTTATAGTAAAGGTAGGCTGCTCCCAAGAGCATGCTTTTAGTAAAGGTGGGCTGCTTCCTCATTGCTTTTAGTAATGCTCCCACCTGCTCCCAAAAGCATGTTTATAGTAAAGGTGGGCTGCTCCCAAGAGCATGCTTTAAGTAAAGGTGGGCTGCTCCCTCATTGCTTTTAGTAATGCTCCCACCTGCTCCCAAGAGCATGCTTTTAGTAAAGGTGGGCTGCTCCCAAGAGCATGCTTTTAGTAAAGGCGGGCTGCTCCCAAGAGCATGCTTTTGCTAAAGGTGGGCTGCTACCAAGAGCATGCTTTTAGTAAAGGTGGGCTGCTCCCACATGCTCCCAAGAGCATGCTTTTAGTAAAGGTGGGCTGCTCCCACATGCTCCCAAGAGCATGCTTTTAGTAAAGGTGGGCTGCTCCATCATTGCTTTTAGTAATACTCCCACCTGCTCCCCAGAGCATGCTTTTAGTAAAGCTGGGCTGCTCCCACCTGCTCCCAAGAGCATGCTTATAGTAAAGCTGGGGTGCTCCCTCATTGTCCATTCAGCAGGCTTGTGTAGGAAGGTGGCACCATTCTGTTTCTTAATTGTAATGGAGATTTTAAAGAAAAAATGAAGAAGCAGTATTAAAAATATATTTCAGAGGACTGTATAATTTCTACATATTTATAGTGTTACTATTAATGGTGTTGTTGCTCTTATTGATATTCATTGTTATTTATGTATTATTATTGTTTTTATATTGTTGTTGCTATGATGATGATTGTTGCTGCTGCTATCATTCTTATTATGATTATTATTTTTGTTCTTTTCCTACAGTCAGAGGTTCAGTCTCCCTCGACTCCTCCTCCAACCTCCCCTGTTACGCCCCCCGAGAATTCCACAATCCTGCCCAATAAGGCAACAAGAAAGCCATCAGAGCCCATAATAAATGGTAACTCCACCCCGCCAGCTCCAGTGCAGAGCAGCCAGCTGGACATCGAGTCTCTCATCCCTACCCATGACGAGCAGGGGAGGCCTATCCCGGAGTGGAAGCGTCAGGTGATGGTGAGGAAGCTTCAGCTGAAGATTCAGGAAGAGGAGGAGAAGAAGCGCACGGTAAGGGTCTTCTCATGCACTGCAGTTTTTCATGCAGATTGAATTGCCATGGTTTGGATTTGAGTTGTCTTGGAAGTTTGTGTGGGCATGCTTTATCGGTTACTATTGCTTTTGCAGTGTTATCCATTTCTTCTACTGATCTGGCAGGAATATCTACAGTACATTACGCAGTTATTAAAACAATGGCATCACTCTTTGTCTGAGTGCAATCATGCATATGGGTAGTTTCTTGCTCTCCTAGACCAAGTGCCTTGAGGCCCCAACACAACTCCCCCTACCCCCTCAGTGGCATGATTGGATGTGTAGTTTAACAGCAGCTGGAGTGCCAAGGTGGCCTGCCCCTGCCTTACTGAATGACACCTACCCCTGTTCCAAAGCGTTACTCTTTGTTTTCTGGAAAGCTGCAGAATCAGCCAGTGAGGAAGTAACACTATAGTTGCTGGTGCTCTCCTACCAATCCTGTTTTCATGGCCCTTAATGTTCCTTATTTTGGAGCGGAATGTTCTCTTTTACTGGCAGGTTAGTGCTGATTTGTATTATTAGTAGCAATATGCTCAGACATGTGAATTAAGTGGAATCATGTCTTCAAAAAATCTTTTTGTCTTGTTATAGAGCAGTGTGTGCCATGATGACTTAGGGAGGTCAATGCAAATTGCAACTAAGTAGGAAGTAAGCAAATCCAGGGACATTTGCATGCAGTTAGATGACTGAATACCAGCAGAAAGAAAAAGCATCTTATTGTACAGATATTTTCATGTGTTATTAGTATATCGGAGGCATGCTTCTCAATAACTGCAAAAGATCTCAGCGTCTCTTAGTACTGACTACACCGGCAGGGCCATCATTGGACATCATGCTGTCCTAGATTCACCTAAATTAATAGAAAACCTAGAAAATGCTAATTCTGGAATATGCTTTTGGATTTTGGTTTCGGCATCAAGGTCTGCTTTACATTTAGACAACATATACACCCAACAAAAGAAGGCCTTAGACGGCATCTCCTTGGGTCACACGGGGGGAGGCAGTTAGCTTGCTGCCCCCTTTCTGGCCAGAGTGTCCCTGGTTGCTAAGAGCTTAGCAACTTGCCGGTGTCCTACTCCGCTCCTGGCAACCAGTGGCATCAGTGAGCTGGGTGGGACGAGGTAAGGTGCACCACCTACGCCCCCCCAACACCACCCGCTGCCCCCCACCCTGCTATCTGCTTTACCACCCCCTGCTGAGTTCCTCCCACAGCTCTGCTCTATATACAGGAGTAGTGGCACCTGGGTTTGCAAAGGCATTTGGTTCACATAAAGTGGATTTACATCCTTTGTGACCATTGATTAATATATTGAGTAATAATACTCCACCTTAGCGCCCATCATAGCTGTTACTAGTAGTTATTAAGCTCATGTTCTTTTCTAGGAATATGTGCTTATTTCGGTGTAGCAAATGGAGATTGCTCCAAATTTTCATAACCACTCAACGGCTTCTGTTTGTTTATCTCATAGTAAAGGACATTTGCAGTTCACACACACAATGCACACACACACAATGCACATACACAGTGCATGCTTGTTACATAAGCTTTCCTCTGCCTGTTGAAGAGCACCTGTCACTTGCGTACAGTTTAAAGGGAACTGCCATCGCTGACTGGCATCTTTATCCTTGCTTCTTTACATGTCATATTATTTAACAGTTAATTTAAATGTCCACGGTTCTCATCTCTATTAATACACAAAGTTAAAAATGTTATGAGTTTTATTACACAAATTTGATGTGCGAATCAGAACACCTATGTGCGAATATTTGAGGCCCATTTAAACTTCTTGGTTACAGTGAATTGGCACATAGTGGTGCCATTTACTTTGAATGGTCCCCCGACACACTAAGTCAATGCACCACAACACACAGAAACATTTCTTACAATTGTAGAAAAAAATCACATTGAATTCTCATTGGATAAAAAAGATGATTTTTAATAACCGCAGACTACAAAAAAATAAATGTAAACAATATTTTGTCAAATTATTATTATTTTTAGCCAATGCTCAGTTTTCCTTTTAAAAATCTGTTTGCATGGTGTTGGTGTGCAGTTTGAGTTTTTTTCTTCTTTGTGATACATTTAAACTGCAGTATCTTGTATAAGGAGATGGAAGAAGGTTGGTGAATGCAGTAATTGGCACAACTATTGAATACTAGTAAATGTCCTATTGGTATCCCTTTCCAAACATATTCCAACTCATAGCTGCTCCATGTGTATACTCTATACTGCAGGTTTAAATGTTGTACATGGTCATTTAGTGGTGTAATGAGTGATCTTTCCTCTACCGTCACATCTTTATCACTAGTCATCATAATGCTAACTGATATTATGTTACTTTTAACATAAACTCATCAAAAGCATGCTTGAGCAATGGGATTGTGGACTGTATATTCAGCCAGTGATGTCAAGTTCTTTGCTGTTATCTGCTGGGTTGGTCAGCCAAGCGAGAACACCAAGCGTTGCCCCGTTAAAGCCATTACACCACTAAAAACATGTACACTTTGAAAAGCGTGCAGAGAAAGAACAGTTGTGGCTCTATATCCTGAGGGATGTTTTCCCTCTCCTTTTTTTTTTATATTTTTGCATTAGTGTGAGGCTGGTAGTTACTACCACCCAGAAGGTTGGAGATATTCTCATGCTCACAATGCAATTTTGGGACCCTTCGGGGAACTGATGACTGAAGATGATATCATTCGCATTGAGAAGCAAATTGAGAACTTACAAGTGATGCACAAAGTCCAGAAAGTTGAAACTGAACTAGAGCAGCTGGAGCTTGAGCTTCAACAACTCCTTCCCGTGTCTGCTGCTCTGTCACAAGAACACTTCACTGTTAACCCAAAACAGATGCAAGGGAGGGCAGATGACCTGCCTGCTTGGTGTTCCAAAATTTCCACACTTTTGAAAAGCATGGCCATCTTGCTGGCAACACTTGGCGGAAAGGAGGTTGACCTGGAAGATTTGGTGGCCAAAGATGCTTCTGAGAAGTCAATTAATGGAACAAAAGAGACTGCTACAAATATTGGTAGATCACAGTCATTTAGCTCCACTAGAGAGGAAGTTGAAAAAGAGATCAAGCAGTTTGGTGTTTCAGTCAAAAACTTGAAAGCGAACTATGAACTGTACACACAGCCTCAAAGTGCTTGTGAAACATCAAACAGAATATATAAAAGGAAGAGATCATTACCTGTTGGAACAACAGCTTATAGCTATGGAAGGGAACCCATCTTGGAGGAAGACTACATATCAAGCAATGACCACTTCAATATTTTAAACGACGGCCTAGCTGGGCCTCACGAGGAGCCGCCTATTATGCTTTCGCATACACCCCTTGCTTACCATGATGAAGATGGTTTTCCAAGAGAAATAGACAATAGTAACCAGAGCAATATCATTGATTCCTTGGGAGAACCATTGTTTAGTGCAGATCACATGACTAGGAGTCTCCCTGTGCAGACTGAACTTAGCTGTGTTCAGGACTATATTGACATGAGAAAAGAAAGGATTGTGTATCTGTTCCTTGAACACTGGAAAAAGTGGACATTCACAGAGTCTGTCAAAAGTCCTAAGAAGAAGCAGGTTGGTGGTTCAGTCAGTGGAGACCTGGACTTTGAAAGGAGGAAGAGTGACAGTAATGATGGTAGTGTCAAGATGGCCAAAGGGCCAAGTGATGATGACCGGCTTTTATACTTCATGAAGCAAAGGCAGGTTGTAGGCAAGTTGCTTAGCCATTGGAGAAGTATCATCTGCCAAGTGCCGACTAGGCAAATCCGTCGGTTGAGTAGAGCAAACATGCTTTATTGGCCAGAGCATTTTCTGCCGCATGTGAATGGCGCCCCTGTGGAATATTCCAGCCTGACACTGGACCTTTTCATGCTGGGTTACTTCCAGTTACTAGAAATGACCATGTCACGGGAAGAGAGAAAATTCCGACACATTCTGTGTTATGAAATGTTTGACCGACTTGGCAGCCAGAGCTGGGAACTCATTCGTGATTTCTACAAGGTTGTCATGGAGGAGATTGAATCTGGAAGAATAGATTGGACAGACGGATTTGAGGATCTCAAGCAACAGTTCTTCGGAGACAGTATAGAGGGAGATGTAGCCGCTGTCGTTGACCAGGTCGAGGACACAGTAACCCAGATCTTTTCTAATGACGAGCTCAAGGTTACCATGGACCCCAAAGTGAAAGACAATATACTGGCTAGTGATGAACTGACACCACTCCCGAAAACTAGAAAGGACTCTATACAGCTTATTTCAGAACTGGGAGAATTTACTAACGACGATATATGTCGCTATATCGATCGCAGTTTTTCGTTTTGGAAAGAGAAAGAAGCAGAAATGTTTGATATATGAGGCTTTGAATTCCCACTCATTGTGGTTCTTAAAAATCCAATGGTAAATTACCTTTTACCGATACACACGCGGCAACTCGAAGCAGCCGCTTTGATGTGTTGTCGTAAAAACCACATAGTGCAACTCGATTGCCACAAGAGCAGGTGCAGGTTTCGTAGTGGGAAACAAGTGAGCAATCAAGAATGGTTTAATAAGCATACAGCTTATATTTTGTATTTATTTAATTTTTTTCAGTATTTTAATCCCCACACACTGGTGACGCAAGCACGCTTTAAATTTTATAAAGGGTTATAAACATGTGGCATGGATTTTTTTCCCCCCCAGAAAATGGTAGCTATTACTCGCATCATTAAACCAGTTTAACAGTTTAAATTGTTTGCTTTATTCAAATATTTATTAATTTAGCTCCCAGCTCTGGAAATCTAAGAAAGTTGCCACAAAAATAATAATTTATACATTGAGTTTCGTATATGATCATATACATTCATATTTCCTCTGAAATACTTTAATTAGGTTAAAATAGGGAAGTGGGTAACCATCCCAGTTTTTCCTTTAACCATTACCATTTGTTTTATGTATTTTGACTGTTAAGGTTAAAGTTTTGACTGTTAAAGTTAGA